AGAGAGGACTCCACTGGCTTGTCTTTGAACTGGGGGTGTTTTTATTTAAAGTGGTGGCATGGTGGGTGGGGCTCAGTGATCTTTGAAGTGAGCGTAGCTTATCTGCTTTCAGTCCTCATTACAGGAGAATTAAGAGGAGGAGGAGATAAAAGGCTTCTTTTCACAAGAAGAGACAAAGATAGAGGCGGAGAGACCCTCCTTAAAGATGACAAGTGTTTGCAGGGAAGAGGGGGTCTCTGCTGATTTGCATCCAGTGTCTCAGTCTGAAGCCTGAGCGGCGGACAAAGAGCTGCACTGTGAGCAGCATCAGCAGTAAATATTTACGGCTTCACTTCCATTCGCACCACTTAAACACTTTGTGAATGCTTGTTTCATGCTTCGTTATAGCACAACACTGCTGTTTGTTTGTTCATTTTTACAGCCCATGCACGCCACATAACATGCACTTTCAAGATGATTAATACCTCATATTAATCTGTTTTTGTTACACGTTCTGCCCTTTTGATTGATCATCAGGCCCTAATCTCTCTGAATAGATGTTTCTGCCTGAACCCTCAGTCTGTTTATTTAAGCTGTGAAGTCTGTGACATGACAAAAGTTTGAGGGTCAAACCAAGACAGATGTGTGGGATGCATGTCTCCAGCTGACCAGAAGGGGTCTGCCAAGCATCAGTCATTCCTCTAGGAGCTGCTGCTGCGTTCAGGTGCTGTGGGAAATATAGGCGTTACAGTGGAAACCTACAGAGAACGTCACAGTGTGGTTTTAAGTGGATGTAATTGATTATTTATTACACTGATTGACAAAAATATACTGACACATTGTAAAACTGAGAAATTATTTGTTTTTTTCACCCCACAAAGATTTACTGATGCTCGTTAAATGTCAGTAATTGTCAATGCCAGTAACAAAATATGCACATTTCTCTGTCTGTCCTGCAGTTGAATTAACATGTTATTATGCCCTTAAAACATAAAATGCTGAGTAAGAAAACTAGTTGACATTTATTTTATATTAAGTCTTTCTGCCAGGTCCCTGTTTTTCATAGTAGGTACCAGTCTTAGCTTTAAGGGGAGGCTGGGTGAAAAGGATTTGTCCTCATCTCATGGTTCTGAGAGGTATATTTTTGTATGTTGTATGTTATCTGCTGAGTCAAAAAATATACATACAGCAACTTAAATGATCAGTTTTGACAGTGGCATGGCCTCTTAACCTT